AAAGCATTTTGTAGTCAATATCCTGAATTAATGATCACACAAATTGTTTATTAAATGAATATATCTGAATAAACTCAGCAGCTAAAAACCATAGAATCACCACAGTGATTCTCACTCAAAAAGTATAGGTGAAGCTAAGCCAATGCTAAGTGAATCTGATGGGCAAACAGTTTCAGAAACCATTAAACTAAAGAAGACAATTCACAAACCATCTAGATGATGTTAAGGGTCTTCTTCCATAACTTAGAACCAAATCAAAGCTTTTATTCAACTCCATAAAATAAACCTTCTCTTATGGCTAAATCTTCTTCTACATATCCCTGAATAACCTTACCCACACGTTTTTTTTTTTTTTTTTGGGTTAGTTTTTTTGTATGTCACACACTGACAGACATTATCTCATAAGCTTTGGACCAATAGTGCAACTGTTGCTGTGTGATGTGGCTCCTCACATTCTCTACCTCTGAGAAATCTACATAGACCTGGTTATCAGCATGCTAAGGATATTCTGAATAGAAATGACAAAATTTTAGTGCCTTGAATAGATCTTGTGTGTTTTCTATTAAATTAAAATGTCTAAAGATCTATAATAAAAAAGACCAGAGTGCTCTGTGTCCATGATAAAAATAAGCCATTTGTAGAGATTAATGTGACTGTGTTAGAGTAGAGAATGGAAAATGACTACTAATAGATTCAAGACTTCCTTTTGGAGTAAAGACAATGTCTCAAAATTAGATTATAACTATGGCTGCACAATTTCATAAACACACGGAACACTGTGAAAACTATTCTTTATAGTTGACTTTAGCCAACAGGCTGAGAAGCAATAAAACTTGTATTTTAAATAAGTAAACATAACACCATATAATTGTATTTCATTAAATCTGCTAAAATATTTCACTCTATCATAGAATACTCCAAATCATCCATTTTAACCTATGGAAGGATTAACTCAATAAGCCATAAATTCATATTGTAATAATTTATATATTTTATATATTAATGTCTAATGGAATTGAATTTGCTTCATTTATTATCACCATCTTTTTATTACTGTTTGTTTTTTAAAGACAGGGTTTCTCTGTGTAGCTTTGAAGCCTGTCCTGGAACTCATTCTGTAGACCAGACTGGCCTCAAACTCAAAGAGATCCACCTACCTCTGCCTCCCAAGTGCTGGGATTAAAGGCATGCGCCACCAGCACCCAGAGGTTATTATCACCATTTTTAGTATGGGTTTTGCTTTTTAAAGTGTAGGAACAATATACATTTGATAAAGCTAAAGCCACTGTAAATAAAGGAAAACAGAATAGCTTGTTTGCACTATTCATAACTTTAATTAATTCCTCATCATGGCAGAATTAGAATCATTTTACTAAGCAAAGACAGAACCCATCAACTTCATGAACAGAAAAATTGCTGTAATTGTGTATGGAAATGTCATATTTAATGTCTTATTCTGAACAACTGGTCTAAATAAAAATAAACAGCTACATTATTGGTTCATATGATAAAACTGGAATATATAGATAACATAAATTGATGTTTTTCAAAGAAGTGTGCACGTTTGTGTGTGTGTGTGTGTGTTTTATACATGAGGACAACTAGTAAAATAGTAAAATGTCAACAAAAGGCAAATTTCAACAAAGAGGTATATGAGTAAATCTTTTATTATTATTATTATTCTTAAACCTTTCCTAAAACTTTAAAATTATTTAAAAGATTAAAACATAATAAAATGAAAAACATCTATTGAGTTTGCATGTCTGAGTCTTGTTTTTCGTTGTCTTTAATCCAGTATGATGTTGCTATTTAATTAGGAAGATTAGTTATTTATATTTAATATTTGTATAGTTAGTATACACCTTTCTATTTGTGTCCTACCATATCCTCTTGGCTTTGTTCTTTATCTTTTCTTTCTCCTTTGTTCTTTTTTTCTTCCTTTCCTGATTTCATTTAAATTAATCAATTATTCAGTGATTAATTTTACCTCCTCTGGCAAGTTTGTTATCTGTATATTCATTCTACTGTTTTAGTGCCCTAGGGATTAAATTATAAATTCTGAACTTATCATAATTTATCCTAAATATTATACATCTTCACATATGCTATAAGAAACTTATGCTAAACACAGATTTGTTTACCAGAAATATAATCTTTCTGAAATTATTGTTACATAATTACTCCCATATGTTATAAATTACCATATATGGTTATTAGTTTTGCTTTAAACACAAATTAAACTCCATCAAAAGATAAAGAAGACAACAAATAAGGAAAATGGTACTTCACTGTTGCCTACCTATTTTTCTTGTAGTTACCATTTGGTATCACGTTCCTTCAGCTTAAAAAACTTTCTATTATTTCTTATGTGTAAATCTAAATTCTTTCAGTTTTAATTCATCTGAAAATGTCCATTTTATCTTCACATGCAGTTGAAACAATATTCTAGACTGTCAATGCTTTCTTCCTGGTACTTTGAAAATGACATTCATTTGTTTCTGGCTTCTGCTGACTCTGACGCAAGTCAGTGATGATGTTTATCAATTTTCCCCCTATGGGTGATATGTCTTTTTTTCCCAGGTTATTTTAAGATTTTAGTCCTTTGTTTTTCAGGAAACTGATAACATATCTAGTGTTGATTTTCTTTGCATTAATCTTGCTTGGGATTGATTGGACTTCTTGATCTTTGGGTCTATACTTTTCAACAATTTTTGGCCATTATTTCTTCTAATAATTTTCTACCACTGCAACCACATATTTGCTAGACTGGAAGAAATTACACCAGGGAGACTAATGGTTTTATCCACTTTTGGTTTTGGGCCATTGTTACTCTGTGCTTTGGTTTGAATGGATTACATTAACCTATGATGAAGTATCTTCTCTAGATTATACAATTCACAACTTACTCTGCTGTTGATGTTTTCATTTCAGATACAAATTTCTGTCCAATTTTGTCCTTTTTTTTTTTTTGATTTTTCGAGACAGGGTTTCTCTGTGGCTTTGGAGGCTGTCCTGGAACTCGCTCTGTAGACCAGGCTGGTCTCGAACTCACAGAGATCCGCCTGCCTCTGCCTCCCGAGTGCTGGGATTAAAGGCGTGCGCCACCAACGCCCGGCCATTTTTGTCCTTCTTATAAGTCACTGTCGCAGACTTTTGCACAAGTATTATAAGTGCATGTTAGACTTTGTGAGTGTGCGTCATTATTAAGAATCTAGATGTGTTTATCTTACTTTAGAGAGAATTTAAATCTGTCGGCCAATTATTTAACAAGTGGATCAGCTCCATTCATGGAAGACTTTGGGGGTTAGTTGTAGGAATTAACTTTTGACCTATGTTTAAAGGGGCTATGTTCCGAAGGCATGAAACACAGGATACTTTGGCATGTCCTCTCCCAATTCCCAAGCATTTGCATACCCTATCAGAATCTCCAGTTAGCAATCAGTACCACAGTGACTGTTTTTTGCTAAAGCATGTGCTGTGTAGGGCTCTTTTTGCATGCAATTTCCTCCTCTCCAGTATCCTAATGCAGAAATTTCAGAAGCCTCTGCATCCCTAAACTCTAATTCCTGATTCCTCTGCTAAAATAGCCTTTTGGACTTCTCTATGGCAATAGTTTAAAAATTACCCACCAAAGGAAGCAAGAACAAAGTGGAACTAACTCATCTGTTCTCTGCTTTCTGTTAACTGTATTGCATGTCTGAGTAAATTCAGATCCACAGTTGCTTATTATAAAAGATAATTTCAACATGACAAGAACTATAAGTCCAACAATATTTAAAACTGCTTTATCATGTTACTTTGTACCCTGAAAAGCACATTTCATTTCCATTGGCAGATAAGCAAACCAGGATGCAAAGTGTTAAATAACCAGCTACAAACCATAAAGATATTTAATCCAATATACACATTTCTCAAGTGCCTACTACAGGTACACAGTAATTGACATATCAGTAAAAGGAATCCAGAAAAAGTAGATTCAATCCATCTAAACAGAGCAAATTCATTGCACCTCATTCCCAAAAATAAGTCTAGAAAATGAGTTACTAAGAATCAATCTTATTCAATCTACCAGAAGCATGCATATATTCTCAAAAATGACTGCAATTTGCATTCATGATTTATTTATCACTGCAAACATTCCTATTTTCTGTGCAAGTGATTTCATTCCAACAGTTATATTTTTCAATTCTCTACATGTACTTACCTCTTTTAATATTAAGTAGATATTACCATTTCTACTTAGCTATGTCAAACTTGTTTCAGCTAACTCTTAATTGTACTTCTAATTTTCATCTGGACAAATCAAATACATCTTGCTGGCAAAGAGAAAAATATAATGCACTTTCTAAATGCCATGTCAGCAATATCATATCAAACAGTAATGATATTCCTTCAATCTTCCACAAATAAAAGTGATAAATTTCTAACCCACAGATTTATTTTCATCTCTCAGAATAAGTTCCTGTCCTGTCATTTCACCCAATTCATGGAAAAAGTGATGATAAGAAAACAGTCAGTAAAATTAAGCACAGCTGTGTTCATAAAATAGCTTTAAGACAGTTAATATTTATTATGTCTCCCCTCCCCCCAGCCCTTGTTTTCTCTCTTTTGAAATCCATAGTCATAGCCAGCAATGAACTCTGTATAATTCCCAGAATGGTCTCAAACTCATGATCTTCCTCTATTAACTAGCCAGATTAATGATTACCTAAACATATGACTAATTTCAATGAGGTAAAGAACTTGTGAACAGAAATCTAATAGTACATATCCTTGATTGAGAATCAGTTATTTTTAAAGTGTGATCAAATACTAAAAATAATAATAATAAAGTGTATTAGAAGTCTTTTTAAAGATAGTAGAAATTATTGGCATCCCCTTTCACTGAAAGCTTCCTCATGCCGCTTTTGCTTCCTCGGGTAATAATTTAGGTCACTGTTTACTATTACTCCACACTGTTGTCCCCAATCGAGATGACAGCCTTTGTACAAAGCCCTTACCTGCAGCACATCTTGGATCTTCACCCACACATCTGCCATGTCGTATAATTTAATCTCTTCCAGCTGAGTTGGCTGGGTCCCAACAGAGTCCTGCAGGTACCCCAGCACCACAGAGTGGGCAGTGGCTACGGCATTAAATTTGTCAAACAACAGCTCCAGCAGTTCTAGAAGTAACCTGTGGAAAAACAAACAAACAAATAACATTTACATAAAGGCATACAGTCACACACAAATGGTTTACTAGCCTGAAAGAAAAAAAAATATCAGATCCACTGAGAAGCACATCTCCATGTACACAACACAAATATCATATTCCAACAGATTTGATTTCCAACATCTATGCAACCTAGGCAATCTTCTAAATCTATCTAGTCCCATATTACTGTCACTAAATGAAGAGGACTTAAGAATTTATAAATCCAGTGTAAAGTCCCTAAACCAGCAGCCTAACAAACACAGTTCCTTTTTAGAATATTTGAGGTTATAGAATCACAACTACTCTCTATTCATATACGTAGTCTCCAATGAATTCTGACAAATTTTTTAGATAGCAGTTCAGATATCACACAAAATATGCTATGCCCTGGCAAAAAAACAGGGTGCTTTGGTAAGGACACTAATCCTGTTAGTCATGGGAAGATGTGCTTACTATCATTCAAATGCATGGCCTAAGGTGTCTGAGAAAAAAAAAAATAGACACCTGCTAAGCAATCTGACTTTCACTACAAGGAGCAGCTTAGGCATCTGCGTTATCTCATTTATCATAGTGAGATATGCTGGACACATATTATTACATCGATACAATACACTCAAGGACACAAAATGAGGTTGCAAGGCAGCTGGTCCGAGAACAAAAGTTGATTTCCAAGCCAGTGCACTCAGCCGCCTACCTCTCACTACCATTCTAGAATACAGATGTGTATTTAAGAAAGCCCAGCGCTTTCTGTCATGATACAAAGTCATTCCTCTACTGTTGGGCTTTCTAGCTTCACTGATGACTTAGGCCTGGAATTACTTCCTCCTCTCAATTTGGAGAGTAGTTCAACCTAGTTTTAGGAATCTACCACATGTGGCTTACATATGTAGCTTAAAATATATGGGCTACATTTACCTTTATACAGGTATTCTGCCTCCCCTCTCCATTATTACTTTTTCAGAGTAGATTCTACATCATATATTTCTGTAGGAGTGAACCCCACAAAGCTATCCGCCCAACAGGGCGGGGTCAAGGTAGATAAAAGGAAGTAAAAGGAAAAGGGGCTTCCTTTTTCTCCTGGAAGCCAGCCACGCTTCTAACTTCTGGTCTATGCGACCCTCTCTCTCTCTCTGATAAATAAATATATTGTTTTCCCTATATAGCCTCAATATATTTCTATACTCAAGAGCACTTAGAACATGTTTAACAAATATTTGCTGAATAAATTAAATGTCTATATCATTAAAGAGGATTTAAAAACCTTTAAACGTGAGCCTCATTGTATGTTTCTCAGTTCCCAGATCCTTAACAAACTGATAAGCCAACCTCAAAGGAGAACAGCAAAGCAACAGTGTATCATGGCAATGTCAATTAACAAGACTTCACTGCCATAAATAGGGCCAATGTGACAGCCCATAATGACACCATGATAAAATTCTAATATCTATTTGACATTGTAATTTCAATGAGGGAGAATCAATAGACTTTATGTAGTGCTCCCAGCCTGCAGTAGTCTTGCATAATCTAGAAATTACACATTGAGTAAGTAAACAGGAGTCATCTTACCTTTTGAAAGATAACTTTATCTTCTCAAAATCAGCTCAGATTTATATCCACATATGTCACATTTTTCTGTTTTGGAAAGCCATACAAATACCAGCAGAAAGAAGACTTAGCTAACTAAGCACAATAGCCAAAACAAGAAATAATTGATATAAAGCTTGTAACTGAGATCATACACAGAAAATAATAGGCCAACTGAAGTGGGCCAATTTCTACTTAAAATTGCTGGTAAATATATTAGACTATGGCTCCAGTGTGAGTCTGTAAACAATATGCATTTTCCAGAAACAGCAAAATAAGAAACATTAAAGCAATATATTGACTTTAAATAACTGTCTTCTTGCAACTCTCTTGATAATAAACTCTCAAGGTTATTATATTTCTGTTATTGCTTCTGTTATGATAGGGGTTATATCATCCAGGAAACTTAATGACCATGTTAAACTTCACATTGTTTGAAAACAAATTAATCAATGACATTCAAAAGTCCAGAAGGCACTGGTCCAGCATTCCAGTACCTTTAAGTTCTGGGTTCAGAACTATGAACCAGCAAGGGAGCAGAAGCACGGGAAGTGAGCTGTCTACACTAAGTAGAATGATAATCTCCAAGACCACTGCCCTCCACAGCTGGGCATCTTATCTGCCAGCTACCAGAGCAGCTGAATGATCAGAAGCAGAGCTCTGTTAGGAAAGACCACTAGAGAAATGAGGTGAAAGATCACATTCAGTTTACATTGAGGAAATAGCAGCCCTTAATAAAATGAAGGCTGACAAAGGGGCAGCCTTCAGGCACTCATGTAGGCTCAAGGTCCAAGAAGGACATCACAGCTCCAAAGAAGAAAGGTGGAGTATTAGCTGGAAGGAGAGATGGGCTAGACTAGCAGTTCTACCTACTTGGAACTATGAAGTCCCTCAACCCAAGGAAGTTCAGCTATGCTTTATAGCAATACAACTGTAAATAGTAATAGACCTGCAGCTACAAGAGAAAACCTTGGTTTTTGTACTTTAAGTGATACCACCAAGAAAGGAAAAACTCAACCCACTAAATTAGAAACTATAAACCACAGCTTCATAGGACTTGTACCTAGAATACCGAAAAAATAAGAAGAAACTAAATCCAGAATTTATTTTACACACACACACACAACACACACACACACACACACACACACACACAATGAAAGAAAAAAAATCAACTCCTCCAAGAGTCTCCAACTGTAAAGCCAAGAATTACTACGTGATCTAGAAGCCTCACAGAAATGCCATCCTGATCTAGAAGCCTCACAGAGAGAGATGCCATGATGATCAAATTTGAATACAGACAGAGCAACCTGAGGTAACTGAACAGTAATACAGAAAGCAAAGGGCTCCAGATTCCTTTGTCTGGGGTTCTAGCTCAAGTAGCACCAATGATGCTGTATTTTCTTCTGAGAGAATGGAGAGGGAAAGAGATGGATGGAGAAGGGGTAAAGGGAACTAGAAGTACAGAGATTAAAATGAAGGTAGAAATTTAGAAGGAAAACTGTTGGGTTAGATCTAGACATATTAAGTTTAATGGGTACCTGAGATGCTAGTCAGGAGTTCAGGAGACAAGCATATGTTAGAAATGTAAAAGTCGTAAGTATTGGAAAGATACCATGAGGCAGAGATACTTTGCAGAGCTAGACAGCAAGGGAGGGAAACAGCCAACACTCTGAGGAAAAAGAACATTGAAAAGAGATGATTAGCAAGATGCCAGAGAGGAAGGAGGCCAGAGACATTTTTGGAAGAAAAAAGAAGAGAGAATTATCAGTGAAGTCAAGGGCTTCAGAGAAACCAGATAAAGGAGAGAGAAATTTACAATTTCCAACAACCCCTCCCCACTGTAAGGTGAACTCCAGAGTAAATGGTTGATAAGTAAAGCACATTTCTCACCAGCATGCACTTTCTTTAAAACAGGAAAACTTTAACAATAAGAGGATGTTTCCACAGGGTACCAATGAACAAAAAAGAAACAAGAAGCTGCCCACATGAGCAGAACATGAATCTGTGCTAGTCTGCCCAATTTAAAGCTACCAGAAATAAATATGCTGTTAATATCCACATGCACTCTCCACTACCCACACAAGATTGGGAAAACATACTTGGGATGAAGGTAACACCCAACAAAGCCCCAATAAAATCACTCTCCTTGCCACTCTGACTGCAAATGTTTAGAAGAAGAAACAAAAATATCGAAGTTGGCTCAGCTGCACACGTGCAGTTTGGATCTGTAGACTCCACCACAGAGAGAATAGACAATATGGCAGACAAGATGATTAAGTTACCTAACTCCTCTTACTAAGCCAAATCCCTCAAGGAGAGGATGCTAAAACATGGAGGTTTACATTTCAATTAACAACAATTTCTCTAGTCAGGAAAAACAATAGCTTCACAGTTTATTTTCTTAGGCATGTAAATTAGAACACAGCACTATGCCTGTAGAACATCACAAAAGTAATTCTGAATGGAGGGGCAGAATGGCAAAAGGTGTAAGTACCAGGGTCGAACACTCACATGAGAATGCTAGATTTAAATAGCAGCTATCTACAGAATAGCCATGAGACTTTCACTCAGGTTCCTCAATTGAAATTCCCTACCTGTAAAGATTAAGGTTGTAGAATTTGGTCTCTTGTCACATAGCCAAAAGAAGACTGACATAATAAAAACTAGTTCTCTCATTCCTCTGTGTTCCTGCAGTCTTTCAAAACAAAAATGGCAAAGAAGTTCAAGATCTCTCTATCTCTCTCTCTCTGTGTCTCTCTCTGTGTGTCTCTCTCTCTGTCTCTGTGTGTGTGTGTGTGTGTGTCTGTCTCTCTGTCTGTCTGTCTATCTGTCTCTCTCTCTGTCTCTGGGCCAGAACTGAAGACAAAGCCCTATTTTGTGCTTCTTTGTAGTCACACCTCCCTGCTAACACATGGCCCAAAGTCCAGGAGTGAGAAAACAGTCAAAGTTTGTGGCATCTAAAATGGTCAGGAAATGAGGAAAAGGAAGAACTGGAACTATGCAAAGTCTAGGATTTAAGATGCCAATCTGGGGTCTTCCTTCAATTTGCAGCAGCCAGCAAAGGTTGTCCAGAGATTTGAGGAATAAGGACGATGGTGGTGCTGACATACAGATGACAAATATGGTGGCAGTCTCTCTTTACTCATTACTCACAATATGCCAGGAACTACATTAAAGGTTCTGTTTGATAATCTCTTTCATCTTCTGAGACCCACTTTATGAGTGGTCCAAAGCTCATAAACAAGAATAGAACAAAGGAAATTATTTATCCTAATGTTTCCTTCTAGGGAAAGGGGGGAAAATTTATCAGTACTGCTCAGAGTGACATTTGGACTACAATTCTAGGGAGCCAAGGCTGGCAAGAGTGCCAGGAGAACTGTCTACCCTGCCTC